ATGCTGACTGTAAACCAGCTGTGTTAGCTTTCCCGTGAAGGCGGTAGTATCCGAACGTCGACATTAAAAAACAGTATTAAGAGTGAAGATTTTCAAGATGGTGAAGTTCACTACTGTGCCACCCTATTGGAAAAATGTGGAAAATACTAAGTATAAAAGGCTATCGAGTAAAACACTTAACAAGCTGGCTGTTTAAATGTCTGATAGGTGTTGGGAATAATGGTGCAGGTGTGGTACTAGAAGTAGTGAGGAAATTACAAAATATTAGTCAACAGTTTCAGAAAGTGTATTAAATATGTTAGGTCTGTGGGTTTACTGTGGTTTAAGCAGACTTTGTATGCCTTTTTCTAAAGCTTTTAATTGAGAATGTGGTATTAAAACATAAGATTAAAATGTATGTTTTGGCAAAATCAAACTGTTTAATCAAATGTCAACTGTCTAAACTGAACATTATGAAAAACAGACGACGTTACAAATGCTGTGGGTTGCGTCTGAGCATAAGCAGTGAAAATATTTTTGTTCTATTTGTGCTATAGTCTCTCTGCTGCAGCTGTGCACAGATGATACAGTCAAAACTTTGTGTCCAGAAACATCAAACTTGAGTGTCAAAAGCTGAGGGCGCCTACTTTAATTTCCAGAAATGTTAAGAACTTGCATATGCTACAGTGCTAATAGGAATTGAAGGCATTTGGGCAACGTTATTTAGGCAGTTGAATGTGAATTTCAATTTTAAGCTCCTGCGTTTGAAAATTTTTGGTCTACCTGCTTGATCAGTAGCATAGATTTCAGCTAAATGGGTTCTTTATAAAGCGGTGGGAGACTGGTCTAAATGCTGCAGCGTTGGTCTGAAAAGCTCAAGATTAAACATTTATCGAGCTGAAAGGATTTGTTAGGGAGAATAAGTTAGAGAATGTGTCTCATTAATAAATTAACCAGGGATTTTACCCTGTGTCTAGACCAATAGGTATGATAGCCTATAATAAGTTAGGGTCCCAGTTCAGCAAAGCACAGATCGCGTTTTGACATGAGTGGGAATTTTACTCAATATTCCACATTAAACATACTCAGTTTCTTTCCAGAATTGAAATCCACTTGGGGGATGGGGAGGAACCCCACAAACCACTCTCCAAACTTTAAAAGTTGCATATGTTTGTCTTTCTTTCACTCTTTCACAAGTATTTTCATGAGAATGAACCAACCCTGTCACTTGTCCTGTTTCACTAAACCGTTCCAGAAGACACTTCATAATCCAGAAGATGAAAAGATTCTTTTTGGATTCTTTTTCAGTTCGTTTTCTTCAACTATTCAGTACAACTTAAGCCTTCTTGAAACCATCTTGGGGAACACTTGAGTGCATAGCTGCACCCAGGGGGATGTGGAGAGCAGGGCTTGGGGGTTCAACAGTTACTCCGAGTCATGGTGTTGTAATGCAAGTGCAGAATTTGACCTGTTGTGTCAAATAGGACACAACATTAATACTCTGCTATTGAACTGGTGGCACCTTAAATGCTGCCGAATGATGAATCAGCTTTCTAGCTGTAGAAAAGTGCTCAAGTCACGTATTGAATTAATTTACAAAGAGATAGCTGTTTATTTACTTTCAGTGCAGTTAATTTGTCACTTTTAAACTGACCGACTCTATTGGCTTATGCACCATCTCTCCTGAAATTTGTGAAGGTAAGCAGGAGTGCGAAGTACAACAAATCAATATTTTTGGCTGCTGCCTTAATGAAAAGAAGAATGCAATATCCATTATAATCATTAGGATATAAATTGGGCCAAATTCATCCTGGTATGTGAGCAGGCTGGACTCCAAGCAAGTCTGCCCTTTCAGCAAAATTCTGCTCGAGTGCATTATTTTTTTTCTTCTGCAATATTCCATCTTAATGGTGTCACCCCATGTGCTGAGTGATATCTGCCTCTGCTCCCCGAGGCACATCAATACTGAGGAGGGGAAATGGTGCAGAGATACTTGAGGAGGAGCTGGCCTGCATGGTGGATCCACACTGCACCATGCTGCTGCGCACCTGTTGGCGTGATGGCTTTGTTCTTGTTCCGCTATAGATGCATACAGGTTCATGTAAGTGCATCTAACTCCACTGAACTTGACCTGGCTCGTGATGCAGTTGCCACAACAGGCTGCTCTCCATTCAGGTCTGAACACTGGTTCGTGGTCAGCAAGCTTGGGAATCTCCTCCGTATTGGCCAATATGGATCTCTCTGCATAGGATACAGGTGCAAATCTTGGTGCTGTCTCAGTTTGATAAGAGATGGGCCATGGCGTGAGCCTGGGATTTCCTTCCTACAGTGCTGCTCTTTGCTGTGTGTTGTAGAGAATCGGTTTTGAGGATTGTTGTTGTTGTGTTACAGCATTCACTGTTAAATATTTTAGTTCCTCTGTGGTAGTAACCAGAAGCATAGCGAGTGTTTGCCAGCTAGAAGTATTTGCTGAAGTGAAATTTTACATGTATTTGGTCCCACAGCCTTGTGAATCACTTCCAAATTTGTTTCAGTGGATTTACTTTCCTTTTCCAGGAGGCAGAGCCGGTACAAATTTGTAAATCAATAAAAACTCTCTTGAAGTAGAAGGCAGCAGTTCCTGACTTCTTGCAACTTCATCCCTGGTTTCCCACTAGTGCCTTAGCAAGCAGACTAAATTTCTCATGGGTTTACAACTCAACTCATGATTCATAGCTAAAAAACTGATTTAAGACTTTTCTGGAGGTTAAAAAAAAAAAAAAAAGAACTTTAATAGAGGACTCTTATTTGTAGATTCAAGCCTCAATGGAGATTGAGTTTGTCACCAGCCTAGGTGCATACTTCAAACTCATTGATTTTCTATCTTCATTGGCCTAACATTGACTGTTGGTATAAATATCACAAGCTTGCCATTTAAGATCCCTGCACTGAGGGACACGCCATGTGATCCTGCCATTTATGGATTCTCTTTTTCCTTCTGTCTCCTGTTCAGAACTGTTTTTTAATTTATTTTTTTTTGATGTCTCTCTCACTCTCTTGGACTCCTGAGATGCAATCTATATGATGAAATATGATCATCTACAATCTATATGATGAAATATGATCATCTACAGTCAGAACTAGTCACTGCAGGCTTTCCTTATAGTCAACAGAGAGAAATGGGAAATTGAGAAACATGATTCATTTTACTCTAAAGTAAAAATATGAAATAAGTTGGATGAATCATGCTCTAAAAATGGTCATTTTTCTCTGAACTAGGAAAGGTCTTTGTATTACTAGCTCAGAGGTAGAGATCTACATGAAACACCTTGCTTTGGTCTGATGTAACCCATCCCTGTTAACAAAGAACTAGATGATCTTTGAGGTCCCTTCCAGCCCTAACCATTCTATGATTCTATGATTTTATGAACTGTAAACTGACCGTAAACAAGAATATATGCTGTCAGGTTCACATGCTAGATAGTATGTGTAGACTCCTCTCTACCTGTTTAATGTTTTTAGCCTAATTTCATGGAATTGTCTTTCAATATGAAGCCTGCACATAAATGTACTTATGAAAACAAGAACTGGAAAGAAAGTTTCAAAGGAGGTATAAGAGATGAGAGTTGTGCAGCTAATATTTTATGATTTTTCATTTTCTGAGAATACAGTGCTGGAGAGGAGCATTTCACCCTCTTTTCCATCTATAGAAAGTCATCAAGGTCTGATGCTTTGACCTGACTTGCAGAAGTAGGTGGTTACCTTCCCCCCATGAAACTCAGGAGCTGTGGAGAAGCTCGTGCCATTTCTTCATCTCTACTAGTGCTTCTCACCTGGTATGTTTCTCCAAACTCCTCGCCAGTCTGCTAATTGCAGTTCCTTAGAAGAAAATTGTATAAAAAAACCCTCTACGTTTCCAGATTGTTGTAACACAAAACGAACAGATTTTTGTGGGATGACAATGTTCTCTGAATTTTCATCCTAGTGATAGCCCTAATAGATATAACTAGTCTTCTGGATATGATCTCCAACAGAGGTCCTCTACTGCCTTCATAAAACCCTGGATTTTCTCAGTGCTGGTATGTACACCCTCATGGTGCTGATAGCACAGCAAAATGGTGCATTTTTGCTGTCTCAGGAGCTTGTGGTGACTCCAGCAAATGCATATGGGTTTATGATAACCACCTACCTTGGATGACTAACTGCCATCTAGCAGTACCCCTTTTTTGGTGCTGTGGGGACTTGGACAACTAGTGAGACTTCCTGGCTTCTCAAAACATTGAGCTAGATGAGATCAGTCCTAGCCTAAATGCTGACGTCTTTCTTCTCATTTTTTAATCATTTGTGGTTCAGCTAAACAGCATTTTTGACTCCAGCTCCACTTTTTAGTCTGTCATGTGTTTCTGCTCTGTGCACAGTTGATGTAACAGCCTGGCACTTGAAGAGTTTCTATATTTACCCCTACGCTACCCATGGATGTACTGGTAGTAGCAAATGAACCGCATGAGTTCTAGAGGAGCAGAGAGACTAGACACACTCAGCATCTTCTGCTGAAGAGATTTCTGCAGGCTTGATCAGAATTGGTGCGGCAGTGCCCTGGGATGCCAGGAATGACTAACTCCACTGTGTAGGTAGAAAGACTGAGGCAAGAAGTCTTTTTCTGCTTTTCAGGGAAGCATTGAAACATCTTCTTAAGTCCTATTGAAATGGAACACGGAGATAAAATAGTGGTATTAATGAAATGCTTAGGGCATCTTTAATGTTCTTGCAAAGCCCATAAGCACGGACTTAAGCAATGCTTTCAAAACTTAACTAACCTCATTTCCTGAGGTTACTCAGGGCTGAGTCCCCTGATTTTCACTTGGACTTTAATTTTAGGCATTAGCTGGCAATAATTTCCACCCCTGTAGAGGCCTCCTGATAAGAACACCAGCTAGAGATGACCCTGTTAACTTGTTATCTTTAGGTATTTTCAGCCCTGAAATGCAAATGAATTCATTCACAGTGCTGAAATCTTAAAGATACTATCAAATGAGGTGGAGTGCAAATTATTACAGACTCCTCGGTGGATTTATTTATGGTGCCAAGGATAGCGGTCGGATCTTCTATTTTAATACCTTTTAAGGCACCTAATAAGTGATAGAAATTCCTGACAAACTGTGGCTAGAGTCTAAAAGAAGCCAGTCGGTGTTGGAAAACCCTAATCATGTCTTCAAACAATTAATAATGGAAACTGGAAACATCAGATGATATAGTTTACAATAAAACCAACCTGCCTGCACTGTTATATCTGTCTGGCAGAAGGGAATAAATTTATTGCTTCAGACTCTTTGTGTCTTGTCGCCCTCTTCTAAAGTAGTTTTCGATTATTGTGTACGCAAGTTGAAGGATACTTTCATTTATTACAATTTGAGTGGTCTGATAAATATTTATGTGACACCATTACTAGCATTTCCTTGAAACAAAATCAAGTAAAAATGAAAATGATTTGTGATACATGATTTTTTTTTTCCTCTCACTTGTTTAATTTTATGAAAGTGTGTAGGAGCTGCTGGGCAAATCAGGGCAGACTCACTTGTAGAATTGAATTCATTGTAGAGTTTTGAGGAGGCGTTAGTATTATATATGTTCTTCATTTTCCTGGTGAGTATAGGCAAATTTCATTGCCCAGAGCCAGTATTTCAGAGTCACTTAATTATCCCAGGCTTCTAAAAACAGTTTTCAAAGTAACTTCAGGCCACACAACAAGAGATGTTCCAGTGGGTGTTGTTGGGAGTTGACTTAGGAAAAGGGGATGTTCAGGGGACAGGCACTTGCAGCCACCACTCAGGACTGGAGTTGGTCGGTCCTCAGCCTGGCGTGATGGCTCTTCTGAGGAGCCTCTCTGGGAAGGAGTGTGCCAGACGGATCACAGAACACCATCCTGGCCAAAATCTGGTCTGTCATCCTATATCTGTGTCAGGCGTGAATAAAGCATTCCTGGGAACAGCTATTTCTGAGTCCGCAGTATTGCGTTATCGTTGTTCTGTGAATTATCGCTGGCAGCTTTTAATAGTGCAAGCTTTCCTTCATTTATGATTTCCAATTTTAGGAAAGTAATTGTTAACATTTTTCTTTTTCTTTAAAATTAGTTGTGGTAGAAAAACAAGGGTTTTTTTGATAAATTCTGTGTCTGTGTGTTTATAATTTCCTTGTCATTTGTAGCTGTAAATTAGTAAAGGAACGAGGCTTGTCTTGGGTTCACTGGACTGAGTTGGTTTAACTTTTCATTTAATAACATGAGCTCTAAAACAATGCATCATCTTACGAAAATATTTACTTTAAACGGCCTTTAGTATCATTCTGACATAGTTTCAAGGTTTCCTAAGTGAGGCCAGTCGTGCAGAATTGTTCCATTCAAGCTGTTAAGCTCTCTTGGCTTTATACCCCATAAAACAGCTCACGACGTACGATTTTTATAGCTAGCTGTAATTTGCATGTTTTCCCTTCTTTGGAAAATGTGTAGAGAATCTCCTTTATTGTTCAGGATACTCCTGATGATTGGACATTTTGTCTCAATCTCTGGGTAATTTATTTATTAATAAAGAAATATCGAGTTTGTATTTCCTTCGAGCCGTCACCTCTATCAACTTGGAGATTTGTTTCCAAGAGTATTTTGTACTACCGTGTGCAGTGTTGTTCTCTCCCTTAGCATGTAAGCCCAGAAGTGACCCCTATGTTATCCTGTGCATCACAGTCCATTAAATTTACCCAGGTGCTCCTGCAGAAAGCTTATGTCCAAAGTACCAGCGATGGGACCCAGCCACGAGGTAATCAGTTAGATGACACTGGAGGAAAATTGACTTCCAGTATCTGGTGTTCAGTCTGAGCTTCTGAGCACCAGCTTTATCCTGGCATCACTTCAGACCATGATCTACCTTCCCGTGTGAGTAATTCATGGTGGTTCAGAGGAAACTGGAAGAAAATCCATTTTAGCTCTTCCAAGGCACCGACGGAAGCCCAGGGACGTGGAGAATTGATGATGTTAATGCAAAACTGCAAGCTTATGAGTGTGTGAGGGCAATGCGAGCAGTCCTGTCCTCCTGGGACGTACAGAGGAGCATGCTTCAACAGCGTCTAAGATTATGTGGAGCCACTTTGGTGTACTGCCTAATCCTTTCCTGAAACAAGTCCAAGAGAGAGGAATCTCCAGCGGCCCGTAAAATCGAGGACACATCCAGCCATCTGACCCTTGCAGCAGGTTGTGTGGCTTTTTAGGAAACAATAGAACTGAATGGAGTTAATCAGGAATTTGTGGGGCTGGTTTGGACCAAAGACAGGTGTTAACA